TCATCTATCTGCATTTTCCTTCTCTCTTGCCTCTCGTGGAATGAAGAAGATGCCAGGCTGCCTGCGTTGAGCGTACGTACTCTGGCGTCAGAAGCCATGGTATGCGTATACCTGTCTCGCAAATGCTGATCACCATGCTTATTAAAATCAAATCATAAGCTAAATCGATCATTGAGTATTAAAGCTGAAAATGTTACCTCAGTCACTTCTTCGGGCTTGATATCGCCTTGGTTTGTTCATCCAGACTGAGTTGCTTCTGAAGTGCAATCATTCGTACTGCAACGGGTATGAGCCGAGCACGGAGAAAAAGACAGCGTGAGCTGGTGCAGTCAACCACGGCGCCGTCACTACACGACAATCAACCTCGCCCTGTCAATAAACATGCTTGAACCTCAACCGTAAGAGTTTTGCGGTGGAGGTGCCGGGATAGTGATGGCGTTGGTATACGGCACCAGCTCCCGCCTTCTTATTCTTCTCTTCGCTCACTATACCATTCCCGCTAACTTAACCTAATCTGCATTCGCTTGACCCGGTTCCCCATTATGTGTTCCTGGTTAGATATGGTTACCTGTCCTAAACGTCACTTCCAGTAAGTGTCATCTACGATATCACTGTACAAATATGCATTCTGTGCCTTTGTAGTGTTACGTTGGCTACTTTTCGAAGTGCGTATCGTTTTGTTTTTGTTAAGTCAATTTTCACTTTTATTGATATTGTTTCATTTGTCGAACATAGGTTATGCCCTAACATAACCTAACGTTGACCGAGTGCCACGAAATACAGCGAATCAATAACCATTGCTGTCATTCACGATCACACTCAGTTAAAGAACACTCTAGAACAAAAATAAAACGTTCAATTACTTCCCGACCAGCCGTATTACAGCATTATTGGGTCAGCGTTCACGCAGTCTAGCTTATTCTTTTTTTTTTTCAAATACCAACATCGTACCCATTCGTGTGCCACCTCGGAGCGCGTTTGAGCTAAATGCGGCCGCCTGGTAAACGGAAGCAACGAAATGGCCAAGTCGGAAAAAAAAAATAACGCTAAGGAGGATGCGGCAAAGCCACAACGCGCCGAATGTAGCGCCAGAGCGAACACAGCGTGCAGCGCGCAGCCTTTTCTTGTTTAGCCTGCGGCTTCAGCGGTTCTCGTGGTCGTCCAGTGCAGGAAGCGGCAGATGGGCCAGGGAACCCACGCGCGTCGCCACTTCGTGGAAAAGACGGTCGCGAAACGCGTTCCATGCGGTCATCTGTAGTCTTTCCCGCCTTTCGCGACGCGAAGTGTATACATGTTATGAGTAGCCCTACGCGAGGTCGTGTCCCCCGCATCGCGTTGAACAAGCACGACCGCCCACGCGACTGAACCGCAACGTTTGTTTGGCCGCGCGCGAGAGCCTCGAGCGGTTTTGCCGCTCGGGGCGCGATCGACTCGTCTTCCGGTCCGAGTCGACGTTGCCTCGGTGAAGCGACGCGCCAGGTGTTGTTTGACTCAATCGACGTGAGTCAGGGCGCACTTTCATCGGCGTATAGCGGTCTCGACGCTTTCAAAGGCCTCGGGCTATCATGGCCTCGCGTTGAGTCACTGATAGTAGGAGTATGCTTGAAAGTTTGTCGTATTGTGTGTTTGCTGAAGCCAGATAACGTGTTTTGCCGTGAGGCGGCCTGTGCCTGTCAGTGTTTCAGAATTGTTCCTGGATCGTTCGCCGTAAAGGGCAGGGACTGGCGTTGGAGCTTGGTAATCGTCGTAACGGGGCAAATAAACAATGTAGGCTCAAACTGTAAACACAGGGTCTTGCAAATCAGAGCATCTATTTCTCCCTGAGTGTTTCCTTTTTCTATATTATGTAACGACTATGCATGCTTAGGGGGAAGGGGGTATGCTTCCCCGATTTTCTCAGGAGGTTGCCAAGTCTGCTTCATATTTTTACTCAGTTGAACCTTCTCAGTCATGGCTGAAATAGCAAGGTAGGTTTTTGGTAATAATGGCCGAGGGAACCCTAAAGTTGCTTTCCTGGATGGAACCCATTACTTCCCACCTTTACCCCTCAAAATCTGGGGAACAATGAGAGGCCGCTGTGAGGAGCACGTCATTACTTTATTTTTATTTTTGCAAAAGCCTGTGTTCTATGCATAGAACACCTCTTTGTTGGTTGGGTCCCATGGGACCCAACTAACAGAAACGGGGGGTTGGGGGGGTTGAAGCTTGCAACCCACCCAAATAAAGGACCCTGCTCACGCTTTTACTCATGTGAACCAATTGGCACGTACTTCTAGAAGCAATTAATGCTTTTCGCGCACGCGAGACGCATAAATTGCTTCTAGAAGTACGTGCCAATTGGTTCACATGAGTAAAAGCGTGAGCAGGGTCCTTTATTTGGGTGGGTTGAAGCTTGCAACTGAAGTTTACTACCAATACATGACAAACGATGTAATAACATCCCGAAAAAAAAATAATGTGAACCTTGTAGCGTCACCTCTGCGTGAAAAATTGCAAGCGCCAACCTGATTCTCCCACGTCCACGATTGCGAGAAGTAGGCCTTTTTTTTTTCTGCGAGGGTAGGCGCGAGACATAGCTTGGCAGCTTTTCGCTGCTTTCAGTTTACATGCTTTGCTTTATTTTTTCTGTCATTTACGTTCAGACTGTTCCCGGATCGTTCGCCATAAAGAGCAGGGACTGATTGATTGATTTGTGGGGTTTCACGTCCCAAAACCACCATATGATTATGAGAGACGCCGTAGTGGAGGGCTCCGGAAATTTCGACCACCTGGGGTTCTTTAACGTGCACCCAAATCTGAGCACACGGGCCTACAACATAAAGAGCAGGGACTGGTGTTGGAGCACGGTAATCGTCGTAACGGGGCAAATACACAACGCAGGCTTAAAGTGTAAACACAGCGTTTTACAAATTACAGCATCTGTTTCTCCTTGAGTGTTTCTTGTTTTCCATAATATGTAACGACTTAAGAGGAAGGGGGTATGCTTTCCTGATTTTTTTCAAAGGGGCGCCAAGTCTGCTCCATACATTTACTCAGTTGAACCTGCTCAGTCATTGATTAAATAGCAAGGCAGGTTTTTGGTAACAGTGGCCGAGGGAACCCTAAAGTTGCTTTCCTGGATGGAACCCATTACTTCCCACCTTTACACCTCGAAATCTGGGGAACAGTGACAGGCCGCTGTGGGAAGCACGTCATTGCTTCATTTTCATTTTTGCAAAAGCTTGTGTTCTTTGAGACTCAACCAACAAAGGTGGAAGGGGGGGGGGGGCTAAAGCTTGCAACCACACAAAATAAGGGACCCTGCTCATGCTTTCACTTATATGAACCAATTGGCACGTACATTTAGGAGCAATTGATGCTTTTCGCGCGCGTGGGACGCATAAATTGTCAGCATTTCAATCGTAGAGATAATCATGTGAAACATTATTTACCTCTCCGACTTAGTATACCACATCTGGGCGTACGCTGCCGCTTGTGAAAGGACTGCCATCAAAGTGGCTAGAAAATGCCGTTAACGCGGACAGATTTTCGCACCTTCATCTGAATTCTTTTTTTTTCGCACCTGCTAATTACGACCGCAGCAGGTACAAGAAAACACTTTATAGCAAGTTGAATCACTTCGTAAGAGGCCACCAGACAGGGTCAACTTTGTGCACGTAAGATCCTCGAGGTTTCAACTGAAGTTTACTACAGATACGTGACAAACGATGTAATAACATCCCGAAAAAAATATAATGTAAACCTTGTAGCGTCACCTCTACGCGAAAAATTACAATGCGCTAACCTGATTCTCCCACATGCACGCTTGCGAGAAGTTTGCCTCTTCTTATGGGAAGATAGGCGCGAGACATAGCTTGGCAGCTTTTCGCTGCTGTCAGTTTGCTTGCTTTTATTTTTTTCTGGCATTTTTAACATGCCATTTGATTGATTTGATGGATATGTGGGGCTTAACGTCCCAAAACCACCATATGATTATGAGAGACGCCGTAGTGGAGGGCTCCGGAAATTTCGACCAGCTGGGGTTCTTTAACGTGTACCAAAATGTGAGCACACGGGCCTACAGTATTTCCGCCTCCATCGGAAATGCAGCAGCCGCAGCCGGGATTCGATCCCGCGACCAGCGGGTCAGCAGCCGAGTACCTTATCCACTAGACCACCGCGGTGGCGCTTATCACATCATTTGTAATGCATCTAAAGTGAATATTCAGCTCAAGTCTAGCGAGCACCCTGTGTGCATTTGTCGTCGTCCATGTCATTTGACGCACTACACTACATTAGAATAAGGAAGCGCGAGGGCTGTCGGTGAGCTCTGCGCCTATCGCAAAAGTATGAATTTCAGTGGCATATTAAGGCTCTGTAACGCTATGTTGAGACGTGGTGGTTTGTGCAGGGCACCGCAGTGACACGACAAACGGCCAATGATTCGGCGCATATATAGATGCGTTTAGCTGAGAGTCGGTTAATTATGCTCAGCCCCGTGAAGAGGCGACGTCCCGAGAGTGGGCAGAGCTAGTGCAGGTAACTACCGCGGATAGAACATAAAAAAGACAACGGAACTCCCATGAAAACAGCACATATGGGACGTTTCTGACGAGCGCGCTCGTCTCGCCGAGACGCGCGATCAGCTTCTCTACAAAACGACGGGGAAACCAAGTGGACGCACCTCTATGCTACGCTCAGCTGACTTCAGCGGAGCAAGAAACGTGGTCTACCACTCCATGGTTTCACGTTGTGCTGCTCACACGATCGTTCTGCGCACGCGCGCCATAGCTCCTTCTGCGCGTTTGTGTGTAAATCGCGATCAAACGCAAGTATGACCGAAGCGAATCATAAACTCTCGGCTAAAAGTGCCTAATTAATGATAGAGAACTGAATGAAATACCTTCTCAACAGCGCCATTGCCAAGCGAATGTTTCATACTTCGCGGCCTCGTATGGCAATACAGCGGGCATTTGAGCACGTGCGCCACATGCGTAACGTAACTGTCCCTTTTGTCGCAGGGCTCCGTCAAGCAGGACCTGGACACCTACGTGGAGCGGAACGGCGATTGGGCGCAACTGCGGCTATCCGAGGCGAGCGCCCAGCAAAAGGCTCGCCGCGAGAGCGCCTCTCAAGTCGACGAGTTCTTCGAGGATCACCAAGTCGAGCCCTTGGGGGACGGTGGCATCAACGCGTCGTCGTACGCCCCTTACGCCTCATCCCCGTCCCCGGCGGCTTACCTGAACCGCCACCATGGGTACCCCGCGCATGCGACGGCGCACATGCGGACCGACTACCGGCTCTACCCATCGGCCGCCCCAAGTCCGAGGACATGTTCGCCAAGCCGAACCCTCCGCAGCCGCATCTGCAGCAGCATCTTCACCAGCAGCCGTCCGCGCCGCCTGCCGGCTCCATGTCCGTGTGGCAAGAGCTCTCTGCGTGCATCAACCCCCGGGATACGGACATCTCGGCTACGCCCTCTCATTCGATTGACATCCTGCCCGTCGTGAAGACCGAAGGGTCCGTGCTGGCGCCCTGTCAGTACGGGGCCGTAGGTAGGCAAGGGCTCGAGGCGTCGTGCTATCCGGGCGGCGGCTACTCGCCTCAGGGTGCCGCAGCGGCGCCCCACACGAACTTCAAGCTCATGGTCGGGGGACCACACTTCTCCATGGCGCGGGTGTCGTGCATGCCCCCGACGCCGCCCAACTCGGAGCCCGGGAGTCCGTCGACCGACGGAGTTCCCTTGGGTGGAGCGTCTTCGACGCGGAGGACACCGCCACCGCCGTACCCGGCCGAGTGCCCGCCGTCCACGTCCTCCGGTGCCACGGTGTCCGAACCACCTCGCCCCAAGTACAACAAGCGGAATAACCCCGAGTTGGAGAAGCGACGAATCCACCACTGCGACTTCGAAGGTAGGTCTGAGAGCCACTCTTTCAGCTGCATTTCGATGGCTTTTGAAATGTATTCCGAGGTATTGTAACTGATGTGCAAGGCTACTTACAATACTCGCAAGATGATACACTAATAAGGCTGCTAGAGCACTCTAGTTCCCGTGACTTCATCTTATGACGCTCTGCAAAGAGCGCAGGAACAATGCTCAGATTGATGCGCGAACTAATACATGATTGTACTTCCGAGCCGCGAAAAGTTTATATACACGGTCACAAAAGACAGGAGGGAAAAATTGCTCAGAAAAGTGCTACAAAAGAAAATTCGGAACCTGTGGAAAAAAATTTCAAGGGAGCAGATCAGCCTCCAGTGAAAAATACGCCACCAACAGGTGTCGGGTTGACATGCTAACGCTGCCGCTATAACTTGTTTGCCCGCGAAATCGATTAATCAAGTTTTGCGTATTTGCGTATTTAGCGTTTTGTTCTCGGAGCTTGAGCTGTGTATACTTGAAACGAAAACGCAGGCACTTGGTTTGAGCTTCGAGCGTGATATCGGAAGGAAAGTGGAAGCGCTATCTATACTTCAACGTGCCATCTCAACGTAATCGCAAGAGAAAGGCTGGTGAACAAAGCGTGATTTTTCTGTCAGCGATTGCTTTGCACTTAGCTATCGAAGGCGTTCTGCAGTAGCACGACCAGCTTACGGCACAGGAAACCTGTGTTGCACTTTAGCACGAACCGTCCTTAGACGATCTCGTCCAGCGACAAGGTCACGGGGACATACGAAGCCGCCTTCATTACAGGAGATGCGAGAGAATGCCGGCATCCCGGCGAGACAACACGCCGGCGAAGAAAAGCGACAGTGGCGCATTCCGACGAAGTCGCACTTGCCGGCCGGCCGCCCCAATCTTCGGCGGGCGGAACGATAGATCGCACACGCGCCGTTCATTCTTCGCATAACTCGCGCCCACCTATAACCGCCACCAACGCGGCAGCGTACCCAAACACCCAGCTAAACAAAAAAAAAAAAAAACAAAGCGCGTCCATTAAATACAAGCCGATCACCGCGGGCTGCGCGACATAATGCAGGAGTGCGCAGCCTACACGCGGGAGAAGCTGACGAAGGCGATCGACGAGTGAAAAAAAAAAAAGCAGAAAGAAACACGGGAAAGCGACGGAGGGGAAGGAAGAGCTCGGCTCAGACATCTCTACACCCCCCCCCCCCCATCCCTGCCTTTCTATTCCTACCGCGACAGAACTGCAATTTGAACGTCGCAAATTGAGCTGGGGGCCACCGATAAGCATCAGCGTGTTCGCTCACCCTCCGGGTCCTCAATGCAGAGACAAAAACGGACGAGCACACACACGCCACACGACCGCGGCGGCGTTCCAGAGGCGTCGCGGCGAACGTCGTACCCGCCGACGGCCGGCCCCCGCTCGGTTCGCGGTCCGCCCAGACCGCGCGGCGAGCCCGGGTCACAAGTAAACAGCCAAAACATAGCCTCGGGTGAAACATCTGCGCCGTCAGAAGGCCCTCTCTCCAATCTCCCCCCCGTCCGATCGTATGCCTCCGAGAGACTGCTTACCTTTTTACTACCTGCCTTGCGCCGGCGCGCAGAGCGGCGTGTGTGAGTGCGCGAGCGTTGCGTAGTGACTATGTAAGAGGCCAGGTCGCCGCCCTCCCCCTTCTCTGCCCGCTTCAGGCGTATAATATGCCTGTTCGTACAAGCGAGATGCCCCCCCCCCCCCCATCGTCACCCTCTCGTTGTTTCGTTATCTCTCGATGCAAAGACAGCGTAACACCCCCCTCTCTCTATCTTGCCCCCACGACTGAAGATTCCTCGGCATTCCAGAGGCTACGGGGACTGAGATCGATTCGTGCTTCGGCAAAGCGGACTACGAGAAGCGAGCAGAGGAGTTGGCGAGGGAGATCACGCAGGGCCGCGATGCCTACGCGCGCATTCTTAGCAACCAGTTTTTCTCAATGAACATTTTTCTCTCTGCTCAACCGTGGCGCTTTCACCTTTCCACCCTGCTCTCTTCTACACGGGGACGTTCTATAACGCAACCGTGGAAGAGCCGACGATGAAATGAAATTGCCCCACGGGGGCTGTGACCGCGGCAGCATTCGCTCGCTCTCTTTCGTCGTCGATTTTGTTTTATGTGAGAAAGAGCCCGCGTCTTCGTACGTGACTTGGTGTGCTCGTTTACGCCGGTGCTATAGCGGGCATAAACATGCATGACTGCGCCGGGAGCTAGAAAATAAGAGTTCCCGCCGCGTCGAAGCCGAGGTAATGAGAGGACGAGTAAATTTTACGTACTCGGACTGCTCACTAAATCTTCTGTTTGCTTTTTTTTTTTTGTTTTTTGGCAGGTTGCAGGAAGGTGTACACGAAGAGCTCTCACCTAAAGGCCCACCAAAGGATACATACAGGTAAGTGGCCGCCAGTGGCATACATAGCTGTGCAAAAATGATTCAGCTCAATGTAACGCTCAGTCCAAAGTGTTAGTAATATATATAGGTCACCTGAGCACGCCCATAACAGTGTAGAAATGAGATATCATCATCATCATCATCATCATCAGCCTGACTACGTCCACTGCAGGACAAAGGCCTCTCTCATGTTCCGCCGGTTAACCCGGTCTTGTGCTTGCTGCTGCCAATTTATACCCGCAAACTTCTTAATATCATCTGCCCACCTTACCTTCTGTCTCCCCCTAACCCGCTTCCCTTGTCTGGGAATCCAGTTAGTTACCCTTAATGACCAGCGGTTATCCTGTCTACGCGCCACATGCCCGGCCCATGTCCATTTCCTCTTCTTTATTTCAACTATGATATCCTTAACCCCCGTTTGTCCCCTAATCCGCTCTGCTCTTTTCTTGTCTCTTAAGGTTACACCTACCATTTTTCTTTCCATTGCTCGCTGCGTCGTCCTCAATTTAGGCTGAACCCTCTTTGTAAGTCTCAAGGTTTCTGCTCCGTAGCTAAGCACCGGCAAGATACAGCTGTTGTACACCTTCCTCTTGAGGGATAGTGGCAATCTACCTGTCATAATTTGAGAGTGCTTGCCGAATGTGCTCCATTCCATTCTTATTCTTCTAGTTACTTCAGTCTCGTGGTTCGGCTGAGCGGTTATTACCTGCCCTAAGTAGACATAGTCTTTTACAACTTCAAGTGCACTATTACCTATCTCGAAGCGCTGCTCCTTTCCGAGGTAGTTGTACATTACTTTTGTTTTCTGCAGATTAATTTTAAGACCCACCTTTCTGCTCTCTTTGTCTAACTCCGTAATCAAAAGTTGCAATTCGTCCCCTGAGTTACTCAGCAATGCAATGTCATCGGTGAAGCGCAGGTTACTAAGGTATACTCTCCATTAACTCTTATCCCTAACTGTTCCCATTCTAGGCTTCTGAAAACCTTTTTTTTTTTTTTCAGAAATGAGATATATGAAGCTCTTAAAGTTGGCGTGAAAATCAAGACGTCCGGTGGTCGCTTCCTATAAAAAGAGGGAAGTCATAAAGCAGCGTCGAGGTGGTCTATACCTGAGCATTTTGCGTCCCTTCAGGCGGACATACGTGACCCTGGCTTGCGGATTCTGTTCCAAGGTTACATAAGCCGGTTGTTCCCAGACGTAATATGTAACATCATACGGCGGCAGCTAAAAGGGCTCCGTTAAATCCTTCACAATGGCACAGAGGAGATCCTTTTGTGAAGCGGCCGTTGTTCTCGTTGATCGATCCGTGCGGTGCGGACAGTGGAACCATGGCTGGCCCGACCCCACTTGTCTGCCCAGGCGGCGGATCGCCTTGACCGGCAGGTCGTAAACGATGCAGCCTCCATTCATCGTGCTCCGGAAGTCATCGCGTCCATCGTAGGTTTTTTTTTTTTTTTTTTTTTTTTGAGACGGCCAGTTTACGCGTGCGGCGGTAGCTCGTGCAGGGCTCGAATGACCAAGTCTGCGCTGGAGAAGCAGTGGACAGGACTTCGGGCGAAGCTTGTGTGTGTGCCGCCCATTTCACAATCTTAACGGCTTATGATCCGCGCAAAGTTGACGTGCCGCGGGCCGGTCAGCCGGAAAGTGGCCTTAATCCCCTGCCAGTTTGCAGGTGTTTTCTCTTCTTTTGATCGTTTTCTCTTTGACGGCGCTTCCTTCAGCCACGCTGATGGCGCAGCATGACGTCTCTTGTTACTTAAGTCGGTTCCGCTGTGTACATAGTGCAAAGAAGAGGAATAAACGCGATCCTCCACTCGCTACCGTTTTCAGCACCCCCCATTCCGGGACTTAGCTGGTGCGGCAACGTCGAGCGACATATCTTGAAGTGACGATGTAGCGTACAAAGCTTACCCCGGCTGTCAAAGCGAAGCTCCGGCCGTGTGCGACCACACTTCCAGACGATGTTGGTCACGCAAATGCCCCTGCTACTCTCGTGGTGTTCAACTTCTTGTCACTGAGAACCCAAGGTGATTCAAAACTAGCATTCGAAGTAACGCGCTACAGTAATAGAGGAAATACTAAATACAGGGCGAGTTCTAAAACACCTTTCACTTTTTAACGCAGTACTCGCTCGCTGTGGAGTACAACTTAGGGGCTCGCTCTCAAAACTTTCTTGAGGTGTGATCTTTTTTTTTTATGTTGAGCGACCACGTAGATGTGAATTTACTCATACCACTTGCACAAGGTAGCTTTTTCTTTCTTAGCTCTCCTGCACGCGTATGAACATTACAAGCGTCAAAGGAATGGTTGAATATATTACATACCCGCTCTCGAAAGTTTACAGAACATGGGCTCCAGTGAAAATGCGAATTGTGGCTGTATTAGTGCTCGGCGCTTCTAACCTAGCAGGTAGCTGTGTAGGTCTCCGGAAGCACTACATGCTGGAACAGCTATTTGGATAATGTGTTCTCAGAAAAAGTGGTTAGACAGCTGTCTCGGAAATTTCTTGCTCCAAAAACTTTTGGGGGTGGGAGTGTACAGTCCAGTGCAGTGATGAATCACAGTGCCGCTTTATTTTCCTGCTCAACTATAGTATACATAATCAGGGGGTCGATGAAATTGTCCCGCGTAAGCTTTACTACTTCTACTAATAGAAAGAAGAAAAAAAAAAGATCGGTTCGTGGGAAAGGAAACCTGCGATGCTTTCGACGTTATACAGACTTCTTGAAAACATTAAAAGATCTCCGGCACCAGCGTGACGAGCAGTTTCCTCAATTCGTGATTCGGACGGAAAGCGTTATTGCTCGATCTCGTGTTTCTCCGGTATAAGCCGGTAATGACCGGATGGATTTGACTGGCGGGGTCCTCTGGCCACGGAGCACGGGATCTGAGGGAGACGATCCTCATTCAAGCTCTTCTGCACTTGGTGTGGGTTTATTTCTCTGCAAGACGTGGCTGTAGACCGTAATGTTACCGTGACCTTGACGCTTACGTCGTGGCACCATCGGAAGGTGAAGAAATGGGAAGGAAGAGGAGGGGGGCAAGCAGAGCTCACCGTGGGAGTTCCCCGTGGGCGACTCCGGCTCACTCCGACGACGGGGAGGGCGCGCTTAGCTTTCGATTTTCCTACCGACCGCGGGCCGTAATTCTTCGTTCGCTTACGCACGGTTACGCGCGATTCGCGCACGCCTTCGTCGCAGGCTTTTTCTCTCGCGGCCAGGCTTCGCACTCAAAGAAAGGAAAGAAGGGAGGAGCTGTTATTTCTCCCGATCTCGCCGACACAGAGTATTGGGGAGGAAGAAATAGCGATTGGGTGTTCATCGGGGGCGCCCGGTATCAAAGAAAGACGGAACGGGAAAGAAATCGTGGACACAAATTAAGGGGGGATGGGGGGGGGGGGGGGCAACAGGACGAAGGACGCTGCATGCGCTCAGGCGAGTCGTCACGCCAGAGAAAGTCTCCAATCGGGCGTAAAACGGGGAGAAGGGTAGGTAAGTGCAGTCGGGAGGAGGGGGGGGGGGTGTAGCGAGATAGAGAGCTTGCAGACTTACGCGCACCACCTTGTATCCCTGGTAGAAACCACATTATTCCATTAGGGCTCCATTCTGCGCGGACGTACAGTTGGGTCCAGTGCCTTCGCCAACTTTGGTAGTTTCGCCGTCCGTTCTTTGAAAGGAACCTCGGTTTCTCTTCCTTCTCTCTCTCTCTCTCTATTTTCTTGGGCGCTGCGCGAAAGTGACGCACGCTTTGAGTTCTCTTCGACCGGTTCACTTTGCGGTTGATAGAGGAGTGAGATATACGGCGCGCGTCGTTCGATCATAATAGGCAGTGGGAATGCGAAAGCAAGGCTGGGAAGTTCAAGGCTGCTATCAATTGAATGCACGGGCGAAGACTCGGACGGCAGTTGAAATTGAAAACGGGAGGCACGCCGCGTCCTTTTCGGAGTTGTACAAATGGACGCGATGCAGGCCTGTATTAGGCGCCTACACCGGAAGATACCCGAACAGGTGGCTGTGGGGGCGCGCTTGTCAATGCATGAGCACTGTTAGGTCTCGCAAATGTCGCCGCACCTTATTGTGCATCGCGAACCGCAAAGAAAGCAGTGATTTAGGTGTTGTTGTTTTTTTTTTCTTGCGTGTAGGTCTATGGTCGTCTCGCTTACTATTAAAACAGTGTCAACAGTGAGAACAGGGTTTTTTTTATTCGAAACGGAATAATTGTTTTCGCTGAGGCTTTGGTTCAAGCTCAGGTAACATCTGTCCATAGGCTATATACCAGCGAATGCAGTTATATAGCTGGAAAATTGCTTCTTCTGCACATCAGCCATCCGGTTAACAGCAGCTGAACCTAATATGTGAAAGCTTGTACATAGGTTATGATATAGGTATTTAGGTCGCCTCAGCGTCGCACTGAAGATGCGAAGCCTATTAATACAAATATGACACATGGGCGACTGTGAAGGAAGCTGACTGAACAAAACAGATCTCATATACTAGTTTCCGAACTTTAGTTTATTAGTGCGGCTCACGCGCTTGCTAAACGTGCGCTCGTTGAGAATATTGCATCATTAGAGAGTTTTAGCACTGCGGAATGGTGCTACGTACGCATCACGAAAGCGCCTTGCGTTACGTGGCGTCGTTTGCCACTAATCGGCTTTTTAGTACGCCGTAGTACCCGCGTACGTAACGATCGTGAAGCGTGTTGCGCCATCTGGTAGATCAAAATAGAAGCACGTATTGTTGACAGTCAATGTGAGCCAATCCAAGTGTTATAGCCAGATTATGGCCATATTTTTAGCCACAGAGCCGGTCGGTGTTTGCCTTCGATGCCGCCATTTTGGAAAACGAAGTCTCGCGCTGTCGCGAATTTGTTCGAGAGCGGCGCGATCACCTCATACGTACGCACGCACGCATCTCATGCGTGCGTACGTAGCAGCTGCGTACGTAACGCGACACGTGAGCCTTGCGGTCTGCGCATGCGCACTACGCAGAACGTGGCGTCCTTACGTACGCAACGCCGCCGCGTACGCAGCGTACGCAGTACTAAAACTCTCTAATAGTACAGTGCGATTCCGCGCTTGTGGGTGTGCACTGAAAGTGGTCCATAACGCTGTCTCTATTTGTGCCGTCGGTTCAACTTCAATGGCTCACTGTGCATCGGATATCGATAGGTACTAACGTACCCGTATTTTCACTGTATCGCATTCTCGTAGAGACAATTTAATGCAAAGACCGGACGGACGCATGGTTGATAGCAACGATTCTGAAACGCGTAAAAATGTAATCACAGAGGTGTTCTAGCTTTTTCATTTAATTGTGTTCTTTCGAAACGTATAATAGCTAGGCTTGGTCGTGTCATTAAGCTAAATCGATCTTTCTCTTTGTTTTCTTTTTCTCGATCGCAGGTGAGAAGCCCTACCTCTGCCAATGGGAAGGTTGCAACTGGAGATTCGCTCGTTCCGACGAGCTGACGCGCCACTACCGCAAACACACGGGCCAGAAGCCGTTCAAGTGCCTCATCTGCGAGCGCTCGTTCGCGCGCTCCGACCACTTGGCGCTGCACATGAAGCGGCACCAGCCCAAGAACAAGTGATTCTCACCGCCCTTCGCGACGACAACGAGCTGCAGACGTCGACTGTATACAGCGGAGCGCGACTGCATCGCCCAACTGCATCGACGCACGCAACTTGCGAAGACCCCCGAGTTCTTCATCGCCCACGTTATGTCGCTTCCGGGACTTTTAAGTGTATACGCGCGGTTATAGAAAGAAAAGCTCGTAGAAGCGAACACTTCGGGTTGTTTTTTTATTTTTTATTTTTTACCGATACAGTCTGTGTCGCGGCTCGTCGTGCATACCTCGTGTTGTTCGTCGCCTTCTTGTTTCGACGTGTAGCTGGTGACGTTGTCGCCTCACACGCGAAAGACTGCGAAACGCCAAGCTCGTCACTCGAGAAGTTTTCGTTCCTGCTGTTGGGAGGCCCTCCGCGCTCCGAGTGTAACCCCCGTATTCTAGAACGTCCCTTCACTCAACGCTTCACCTTCACTTGAGAAAGCCGATGGAAGCGCCCTCCCTAGGTACGGCAAGTCACTGCATATCAGCAATAAGTGGTGCGATTCTCGAGCAGCGCAGCATCATTTTGGCCGAGAGGTGGCGCAGTGCTCAACTCTGTCAAGTGAAGGGCGAAGGTCGAGTCAAGGAGCGTTTGTGAATACGGGGGTTAGCCTTTATTTCTTTTTTTTTCTTTGCTGAATTCATCAAGTGCCATTCATGTTGGTTGTTTCGCGCAGCGTGTGTTGTGTTTCGATAAAATCCGCAGCGCCGCGTTTTGTGTTCCGCGAGAAGATGACGGGAGAGCTGTGTTATCGCCCAGCGGTCATCTTTCCTGCTCTTCCCGGCCACATTCTTTTTTTTTATTACGTGTTGTTCGTTGTCTGTTTTGTTTTTGAGTGATGCTCACCCACGAATTCGTCGCGAGTCATTTTTTCTTTCTGTCATGCACGGGCCCCCGAACAAAACTAATTTCTCGTGCCCGAAAGCCAACAGCCCGCTTCAGGTGTATTATCAGTGCCTAGATAATTTTTTTTCCCTGTTGGTGTGGAGCCTTCTTACTATATTGACGAGTCCCAAAAAAACCTCTGACGAAGAAAGTGGTGCAAGATCTGCTGATTTTCGTTTATAATATAAATATTTAGTTCATTTAAAGAAATGCCGTGGCACTAAAAGTAAAAAGAAGCGATGTTCTAATGAGTCGTCCTTTATACAGATGGACTAAATTTGTGCCTGTGAATAATGCGCGACATTGTACTAGTTTGCAGGCTCGAGTGCCTTCCTCAGTGTTGTAAACGAGCGATACATCTATGAAACTTTCGATTGTGCCATACTTCGCGGGTGCTGTTGGTGAACTTGCCATTTCATTTCTATTCAGTTCACGTTACCATGCGCGTATCACTTTTGGTTCTACTGTCGTCATCGAACAAAATCAAACATCGTTGTATGTATCACCAGATAAAATGTTTACCTGTAGCGTACAGTGCACGCTAATAGGCGTTCTCCAATCCCAAATAAGTGTTCGATTTATTCGATGGAGTTGGACTTTCTCGAAAGTGTGATTGTGAATAAACGAACAAATTAAAAGTCGTACTAGCACAAGAGTATGCTCAGGTATTTAATTCAGTTGAACTGCCGTAGAATCAAAATTTGTTGAATAGACATAAATTGCGCTGAAATTGTGTCTTCACTGTCTGACATTAGCAAACAGTTTATTTTTAATTCTTTCAAAGGTTTCTTTCGTCGCCTGAGGCAAGAATTTTAATGATCGAAATTATAACAAGAGCAATCGTGATCAATGTCGTAAAATGTCATATTGTATAATAGCAGCGCATAGTGTTAGCATAATAGAACGTTTCAGCTCTTAGTCATAGCTCAGAAGTGCTAAGATAACAAAACCAAATCCCTCCATCCCCACCACCCCTATTTTCTTTGTTTTTGGCACAGCTTCAAACGCGAGCAGACATTGGGCCGTGATGATATTCTGTCTATTTATCAAAACAGGTGCCTTATGACTGTTCATAGGAACTAGTTCCAACAAAACAAAAGAATGGTACAAAAATGATTCGAAAGGAAAAACAGCGTGCCTTTGTTAGCAGTGGCCTTCTTTTTCTCTTTAGAACATCGCGCATAGAGATACATGGTAAGGAAGACGGTTCACTCCATAGACTGATGGACGTGACGTGCCTTTTTGAACTGACGCACAATCTTGCCCTGCCTATTGTCCACCATCGTGCCTGAATGTTTATTGTCATTGTAATTTAACTATCATCTCTCGTTGAACGTACTTAAAACACGAGAACACTGCAACTTGTCCGTTCCTTTGGGAGTGTCGTTTCTGAATCGCCATGTATGTTTCGAAATCGCCATGCAGTGACGTGTATATTTTTCTCTAGAGTGCTCAAAATGATCTGTTGATGCGGAAGGTCTCCTCTCCGTTATGCTCAATTGTGTTTTTTTTTTGTCTTAAGTGCCATACATTTTGTACTGTACATTGATCGCGTTTAGTGGACCAACGTCCAGGTATGACCACAGAGCACCATTGTAATGTACATAGCTTTACAGAAAAAAAAAACACCTTTGCGCACAAGGCTGGGACGGGGCCTGCGAAGCGATGGTTACGCAATAGGCGAAGGCGATGGCTACGCAATTGTCGGCGCCAGTGCGTTGAACAAATAAATATTTACTGCCTCTCACGTGTCGTCGCAAGCGCTGTAAGATATTGCTGTAAAATTTTGCAAGTGAATAAACCAAAAGTGCCATCTTTTTTTCCAGATTACGTGGCATTCATTTACCGTTTCTTTTCGCCAGCATATGTTCATACACCCATGAAGACACTGCACAGCAGAAAAAAAAAGAGAGAAAGTCAATCAGCTCACTGTCATGCTTGGAATGCATAGCGTTCTGGCATCCATACAGAATAAGGTCGTGTGTTAGATTTCCGGCATCGTTCGTTGCTACTCGATGGGATGTAAGTACGGCCCCGTTCGTGTGCTTAGATTTTTAGTGGATGTTAAAGAACAAATAACAGGTAGATTTTAGCTTGTGACATTAAAGCTCTAACGGAGCAACGAAGAACGAAGTGTATTTTATAACCCCGCCGCGGTGGTCTAGTGGCTAAGGTACTCGGCTGCTGACCCGCAGGTTGCGGGTTCAAATCCCGGCTGCAACGGCTGCGTTTCCGATGGAGGCGGAAATGTTGTAGGCCCGTGTACTCAGATTTGGGTGCATGTTAAAGAACCCCACGTGGTCAATATTTCCGGAGCCCTCCACTACGGCGTCTCTCATAATCATATGGTGGTTTTGGGACGTTAAACCACACATATCAACCAATCAAGTGTATTTTATATCGTCCGGCGAACCCAGCCCGGCACGGGACACAAAAATAACAACCAAGGTAAACTAGAGCGATTATAGATCGGTTGGTGAAAGCGAGAAGAGGCATTCATCTAAGAACAGAAAAATTAACCACTAATAAACAGATCAGCCTAGATTAAATCCGAGAAAAAGCAGTTGAATTCAGCATTGACATTGAAAACAAGCACGATGCACTAGAATGTGAAGAAAAGCGCGACATAAAATGAATGGACCAAATTCTAACTATAAACTGAATTTCAAAAGCAGCAATCGAAGTTGGACGTGAAACACAGAAGCAAGAAGCCAGCAGACTCTCTCAAACAAGAAAATAATTGATAAGGTAACTAAAACATAAGAATATGAAGGCGATAAACTCAAGCTCTAAAACAGTTTGCGGAACTAAAAAAGCTCAAGAATAAAAACGTCGACTAAATGATCTACACTGATGTCGAAAAACTGTAGCAGCAGTAAGAAAGGTGCGGTGTTTTTAAAACAGCTAAAAACTGATCAGGAAGGTCCAAAATGCACGCACTGAAAGAAAAATAGGGTGATATTCCCGGCAACTTTACATGCAGAGAATAAGGCAAAAATATAAAAAAACTGCTACCTCTACATTTTGGTAGGCAGTGCAGAAACTATTACAGGGAACACACAACACAAGTGCTTGTGTTGTATGTTCCGTGTAATAGTTGCTGCGCTTCCTACCAATATGGATTCATACCAACTGGCCCGATAAAATTGCTTATTGTGTACTACCTAAAATTGTACAGCTCACAGGTAAGTCATCCTTCTCCACTGAAGAGAAAGCCGAGTGGGACAGAAGTTTTATAGGTAACTTTCGACGAGATTAGAAAGACGGTGGTTATGGCGCGAGAACAAAACGACGACACAGAGACAAGACGGACACGAAGGACACGAGCACTAACTTCCCACTGCGTTTATTGCGCATAGCGCGAAAATGTATAAAGGAGACAGTAACCATGTGACAAAAAACCATATGGCACGAAGAGCAGAACATGAGTAAGAGAAAAACAAAAGCACAGCAAAAGGCAAAGAAAAATCTATAAGGAAACGAAACAGAAAAGTAAAGATAATATAACTACTTTCGCGCACCGAAACCTTCGAGGAACCCTAGTTCCTTCTCGGACAGGGACACGGATGGCTTGCTAATGCAAGGCACCTTTTCGCGTGCCATCTGCGCGGCCTCGACAATGACTGGGGTGCGCTCATCTTTGTGCTTGTACAGCGTCACTGTGTCCCTGAAAAGGGGCACACAATTCTCAGTGCAGTGCTAATTAATCAGCCTCACCAAATCTACAAACCCCCTGAAAACGCAGTCATCAACGGAATGCAGAGTTCAACATAGAAACAGGTATGCGGCATGCTCCCGGGAAGTTGTCTATAGGATCCCCTTTTCATGCGGTGCTTGTTATGTTATGTCGGAACGACCGGAAGGTGTCTGAACGATTGGCTGAGAGCACACGCTAACAATGTTAGAAACGGGAAAGACGTTTTCTTTTCTTCTCAGCATTTTCTTTTCACACACACACACACACACACACACACACACACACACACACACACACACACACACACACACACACACACACACATATATATATATATATATATATATATATATATATATATATATATATATATATATATATATATATATATATATATATATGCAGGGAAAGAAGTGTATACTTATTAAAGGCTCGTTTTTCCATGTTTTGACACACTGTTACTGAGATCTGAAAGACAATAATGCCAAGGAATGTATAGCGGAAGTTATTAGTTATTATGCCGAATTGTGATGTAAATAGGAAGAAAGAAAA